AACTCTGATCAGAGGCAACGGATCACCATGGCCATCAGGACAGTACAAGAGAAGATCTTGAAGGCCCAGACCCCCGAGGGCTACTTTGGGAATGTCTACAGTACCCCATTGGCATTACAGGTGGGAAGGAGACCCTGGAGCCATGGTCACCCTGGGGAACAGTGAGGGGTGGAGTGGTCAAGGGCTAGACCACCTAGCCCCTCCCCACTGGCTGATCCTCCTCCCTCTCTTCCCTGCTCCATCACCAGTTACTCATGACCTCCCCCATGTCCGGCGCAAAGCTGGGAACAGCATGTCTCAAGGCGAAGGTTGCATTGTTGGCCAGTCTGCAGGATGGAGCCTTCCAGAATGCTCTCATGATTTCCCAGCTGCTGCCCGTGCTGAACCACAAGACCTACGTTGATCTGATCTCCCCAGACTGCCTGGCACCACGAGGTAGCCCAGCCTTCTGTGGAAAAACAGCCCTTTACAATCTGCTGTGTACCCATTGATGTCCCAGTGAGGGGAAGTTGCTTGGTCCTGATTTGCTGGGTCAACACAAGTTTGTGGGTGTGTGTGGGACACAGCAGCTAAAACGTGACCACAACTTCTAGAAGCTCACAGTGTGGGGAGGGAAACACCAAATGGAGAGTCCTGGGAGTACCGCTGTGTGATACCCAGTACAGAAATGTTTGAGTGAATGGATGAATGAATGAATGAATGACTAGGGAGAGACACATTTTGGTTAACTCTAATACAACATGATAAGCCCCAGTAGCAGCATGATCCAGGCTTCCTCTGAGAGAGGGGCTGAGGAGGTGATTGGGATTTGCCAATTAAGAATAGAGAAGGAGGCCGGGCATGGTGGCTCATGCCTGTAATCTCAGCACTTTGGGAGGCTGAGGTGGGTGGATCACTTGAGGTCAGGAGTTCGAGACCAGCCTGGCCAACGTGGCGAAACCCCATCTCTATTAATAATACAGAAAATTAGCTGAGCATGGTGGCGGGTGCCTGTAATTCCAGCTACTTGGGAGGCTTTAGGTAGGAGAATCACTTGAACCCCAGAGGCAGAGTTTGCAGTGAGCCAAGATCATGCCACTGCATTCCAGTCTGGGCAATAGAGTGAGACTCTATCTCAAAAAAAAAAAAAAAAAAAAAAAAAGGTCAGGCAAGGTGGCTCACGCCTGTGGTCCCAGCACTTTGGGAGGCCGAGGCGGGCGGATCACAAGGTCAGGAGATTGAGACCATCCTGGCTGACATGATGAAACCCTGTCTCTTTAAAAAAATAATAAATAAATAAATAAATAAAGAATGGAGAAGGAGGCTGGAACGGTGGCATGCCCTTGTGAATCTAGCACTCTGGGAGGCTGAGGCAGATGGATTGCCTGAGCTCAGCAGTTTGAGACCAGCCTGGGCAACATGGTGAAACCCTGTCTGTATTAAAATACAAAAAATTAGCCAGGTGTGGTATCAGATGCCTGTAATCGCAGCTACTAGGGAGGCTGAGGCACGAGAATCACGTGAACCCGGGAAGCAGAGGTTGCAGTGAGCCGAGATCACACTGCTACTGCACTCAAGTCTGGGTAACAATGTGAGACTCTGTCTTCCCCTGCCAAAAAAAAAAACAAAAAACAAGAATGGATAGAGTAGAGCTGAGAAGAGACGGCAAGAACAAAGGCACAGAAGTACGCAGAGTTTGGGGGATTTCTGAGGAACAGTCTTGCAAAAGAGTGGGATCTGGGAGAATGAGCGGGAGCTGAAGGCAGATGAATGAAGAGCAGGTGAGCCCATCGGGGTAACAGGGACGCGTTGTGAACAAATACATGTTCTAGAAAGAGCCCTCTGGAGTGCTACATGCCAGATTGGTGGGAGGAGGGATACTGGAAGCAGAGAAACCAGTGAGGGGCCTGATCTTGGGTGGTGGCAGATGTGGGGAACAAGGGTTAGGGGAGGCCAGGATGGAAACCAGGTTTCAGCTCAGCAGGTGGTGGTGGCATTGATGGAGATGAGGACTTGGGAAGGACAAGGTCTAGGTGTCTTCGGGGGAAGACAGGAAGACAAACATCCAGGTCCCTGTCCTCACAGCAGCTGCCTCTTCCTTTCTCCCTGGCACAGTTATGTTGGAACCAGCCACTACGACCCTTCCTCAGATCCAAGTCCCAGAGACCATCAGTGTCACACTGCAGGTGCTCAGCCTCTTGCGGCCGTACAGACAAGCCATCCCTGTCCTTGCCGGCTCCTCCCTGGAAGATGTCTTGAAGAAGGCCCATGAGTTAGGAGGATTCACGTGAGACTCCCATCTCCCAGCGCTCACCCCACCCAACCCCACATGCAAGATACAGGGTCATGGAAGAGATGGGACAGAGGAGAGGGTTCCCTCGGGAGAGACACTCACCCTGCTTCCACTTCCATCTGCTCCGCTCCTTTCTTGCCCACCATGTTATGGAAACAGAAAGCCATAGGCCAGCATTATCATTGAGAGAGCAGGCTCTGGAGGCAGCTCTAACCAGCTGGGTTCCAGGTAGGCACCCACAGTTCACCGAGGAGAACAGCTGTGCCCCATCCCTGTAGGTCCAGTGTGAGGAGTTGAGGAGTTAGTACACATAGAAATGGTGGCACGTGCTTTTTATATGTGCAAGGTCAGCACATAGCAAGTGCTCAGCACAGGGTTGCTTTCATCAGAGGAAGAACTGTTTTTTCAGCCGGGCGCGGTGGCTCACGCCTGTAATCCCAGCACTTTGGGAGGCCGAGGTGGGTGGATCACGAGGTC